GGTCATGTGGATTATGTTTCTGTCTTTGAGGAAAAAACATTTTGCCGACCTCAAGTCCATTATGATAACCATAATGAGGCACGCCGACGATGGGAACTTGTTGCATCATAATTTTGTCATGTGTGTGGGTGCGTGAATAAATCATGTTAATGAGGTCGACCAGAGTTTATTTTCAGTCTGTTTTTTATGTATCGCCATTTGGATATGTTTATGTATTCACAATAGTTTGTAAACATTTCACATCAGTAATAAAAGGTTTATTTATTTCATAACCCTGTCTGCTATTCTTCAGTAATTACGACACGATGTATCAATACGTGCGTGAACAAAATTATGCTAATGAGGTCATCGCCATCTTGTATTACAAGCGGTCGTTTTTCCCGGCCGTTTCGACTTGTACTGATCACAGTTACTGAAAAAGTAACCGTGCATTGATTACAATACTTACCATACTTTGTAGCCGATTTCAGTGTGTAATACAACTTCATTCGCTGACATAAAACAAGTTTTATTCTTGAAATTCGACCATGTGTCTTAGTGTTCCCACAGTTCTTGACCGAGTGCTCACGTTTATTGAAACCTCGCATAAATCAAGAAATAAGTATGTGTACAAAGTGTACAAAAGCATTCCTTTATTTGACCTTATCATACGAACACAAAAACAACTTTTTTAAATCTTTTTTGGGGTGGTCCTCGGGTAAGCGCCCATCGCCAATTTTCCCCGATTTTGTATGTTCAGGCCCCTGGGCGCGTGCCCGGGGTAATACGGTACATCTACTTTGATAACTACATAATCGATCTATAAGTTGGTGGAAAAATTCTACCAGAGATTGGCTGGAGCTGTATACTGCAGCGAGATTGCATATCCCAATTGTTGAGAAGCATATACTATAGTAAGTAATTTTATCTAATTTAGCTAATTCAGGAAGTCGCTAGTTTAGGAGAAAGAGATTGTTGGCACTTTAGCTAAATTAAGAATCTGTTTCATGCACTGTATATAATTCGCTAAAATGGTATGTAGTTATTTCAAAGTATTTTACAGTATGTACTGTACTACTGAGTGCACTTGGGATTTTAAAGGTAGGAAGATTACAGTATATGGGACAGAGATGGTAAAATGAATAAAGTGATAAAAACTCACTGAATGGTTGACAAAATGAGAAACATTTCCATAGAAACCAGCATCAACAACAAAGGCACAATCTTGGTTGCTATCGTAGTCAAGATCAAAAAGATATGTTCTACCGTTGGAATCGTATATTTTACCTCTTCTTTCAGCTTCTTCATTGCTAATGACCTAATACCAAGAAAATACAAAATGTTTTAAAACACTGATTTAAAGTAATGATTCACTACGACAGCCCATTTACACAAAAACAGAACATAATATAAATAGTAATAGGTAGATTATTCTAGAACAATACTCTTCAATAGTATAAGAATAACTTTTATTGAGTTTTTGAAATAAATATTTTGAAATATAAAAGTGTTTGTTTTTTTTGTTATTTCAACCTTACCATATTTCTTCTATTAAATTGAGGTTTTTACTTCAGAATAATTTTTTTTTATTTTAGCAAAATTGAAAGAAGACAGGCATTTTATAAAAACAATTGCTGAAACAACTGGGAGAAAAGTTATTGACAATGACATAGTCCCCCTGTCTGTAGCAGGATGTGTTGAATTTGATGCCACAAAAAGGAGAAGGAATGAATAAAATCGCTGAGGTATGTTATTAAATTTCATTGAATTCCGATTGAAGAGAATGTGCAAACCAGTATGCCTTACCTTTGCGCCAAATTTAAACAAAATCAGTCAAAATGTGTCTGAATCTTTGAAAATATAATAATCGTGTCATGGCTGCCTGTTGGCCATTTCGAATCAGACCAAGTTTGACACACAACAGTAACCCAAGATACGCGATGTTCACGCCCATTTTCATGGTATGACTAAATTCAGTCTAAGTATTCTTGAAAAATGCTTGATACTTTGTGTTTTGAGTTTACTGAGACAAAAAAATGCCAACATTGGGTAAAATTTCATTACATTAAAATCAATGATATTGGAATATGGAAGATTCAAATAAAGTAAAAGACTCAAAATTTACATTAGTTTACAACATAAAGACATGAATTACTTGGTTACTATGAAAAATCTGAAGTTGATTTTGCTACCCATTTTGAAATGGTTGTCTCAAACAGCATCTGTGTTTTGTAACTAAAGTATCAAACACCAGCCAGCAATGTTTCTAACAATATTTCAAGAGAAACAGACAGATTTTGTTCATACCTTTTTACACTGTAAATGTCATACATGATAGCATTGAAGAAAAACAAAGAACTTGCATCTCCCAAGAGTAAAACCAAATCTCATTTATATACCCAAGTGCAAAGATTGAATTTGAAAACTTGGCATACCCAAGTTGAACATCGAGTATGAAGACAACCTCTCTTACCTCTCCTACATACTCCATAACAAATGAATTCCTCTTGATATCATCCAGAGTTTTCACTCCCCATCCACAACCGTTGGCAGTCTTGAATATACAAACTCGACATTTCCTTCCAGCTTGGACAACTCTATTTGGACATTTCGGACCACATTTACATCTCCTGTTGCACTCAAACACTGGCTTGCCAGGAGGAACCCTGATACGACCATACCTATTATAGGCAAACTTAGCTCCAGGGAGAGTAGGACAACAGCTCTCAGAGTTTTCAAAACAATTTGTGCATTCACAGCCTATGAGCGGATCATTTGGAATAAGAATTCCAGGTCCCGGAATATATTCATTAATGTACATAAAGTTTTGAGGAGGTCCTTCTAAATCCACCCTATTAATAACTTTAACTGATGCTGGGTCAGAGCATTTATTATTTAATTCATTCTCCCACCGTCTCAGTAGCTTTTTATGTAAACTTCTCCGCTCTTCATCAGTCAAACTTGGATCAGACAAGCTGCGAGTCACTTTCATTTTTTTCTTTTTACTCTCCTTGAGATTTTCATTGGAAAGGTGGCGCTTTTTGGTAATATCAGCGCCATTGGATTTCTTTTCTCTCAGCCTCTTGTGATACCTTTTTAGAAGTTTGGTGCAGTTGTTTAAATTAGATTTCGGTTCCCAAGTGTTATCCTCCGGCGGATAGCCTTTCCATTTTACGAAGTACAAATCCTTCCCCTGCCGAAAAAAAGGAAAGATTATGTCACGAAGGATACAAAAAAATAATTTTTTCATGTTACCACTGTGATTTTATATGAACTAACAAACTTTATAAACAAATTAATTAATACCGTCAAATTTGTATTAAACACCACATTCCTAATAGAAGTCGCACCCATTTTTTTTTGAGCAATTGAGAACCAAAAATTCACATATTTCTCATATGTGTAGATGCTCTAATAGAAGCCGTATCCCCTCTGTTGCATTGTACCATTTTAATAGAAGCTGCGGCTTTTAATACAGATTTTACAGTAATACACACAACAACAAGTTCAGACGATTGCCTTAAATGAAACCAAAAAACTTGAATCTCGGGACAATTCCAGGATACAACTTGTACTAAAATTTGCCATCCAAGGCGAGTTTATCTTCCAACTGATGGTGAAAGTAGCAAAATACAGATTATTGTCTAAATTTTCAGCCATTATTGGTTAGCACCAGTGTCAGGATGATCTTGGTTATGTTGTGATTGATAAAGTTCCATGCAACATATGACAAATGAGGCCTTTCATATGAAGCACTTGGGTTTTCATACACAATGATGACATTCTCGTACATAATGACATAGCTTATGAACCACCGATTCCGACTGGCAATATCAGGTTCAAACAACCAACATTTTAAGGCTTATTTTTTCACATGGTACCGAGTTTCAAATCAAAATTTCTTCTCAATCATAATCAGTCATGGAATCTACGGAAGAACTCCCTGAATTTGTGCTTTCATCATTTGTCAATGTCTAACTGATAATGTCCGATAAAGAAAAAGAAGTTGTTCACTGTCCACCAATCTTAGCATTTACCAAAATACACATAAATACATCATCAGAATGGGCTGTGAATTTTTCATTCGTTTCTATAGTAACAAGATATCAATCACACAAATTCAGAATCTCACTCTCTCAAGTGTACCTTTTCAGTTCCATGATCGAGTATCTCTTCAACTTCATATTCAACATTCTCTAAAGGTTCTTCTGATGTTTCAGTCACTTCTTCTCTCTCAACTTCTTCAATTACTGTTTAAATCAAAGAAAGCTTAGAAAGAACTCCCGTGTGCTGAGAGTATTGGAGACACATTAAAAATTAATTCAAAATTACTTGAACTTGAGATGTTGATGGAAACGCAGAAAACTAATTATGCAAAAAAGGTAACTAATGTGAACAGATTTAAGTGTAAAACTAATAAGGTCTGCACAATGTACCAAGTTTCATTGAAATGTGATTAGAACCAACAAAATATTAATTATTATGCTAATTAGAGAATTAATATGAACAGATTTTAACCCAAAATTAATCAGGCTGTCTATTGTCCTAGAGCATTTATGTACCAAGTTTTATTCAAATGTGATGATCAATACTTGAGATATCAGTATTAATTAATTATGTTAATTAGGTGATTAAGAAGCATAAATATTTACCAAAAACTAATATGGTGTATAGTCCTAGGTTCATTGAAATGTGATGGGTACTCTTTAAAAGTTTCATTGAAATCCAATGAGTGGTTTTTAGACATCAGTGCAACAGCCATAGAACAGCAAAAAATTAACTAATTATGCAAATTAGGTAATTAATAGGCACAATTATTTATCCCAAAATTAATCAGGTCTCTACATAGTCCTAGAATATCTATGTCGCAAGTCTCATTGAAATGTGATGATTAGTACTTGAGATATCAGGTGAAAAGCTGAAAATTAATTAATTATGCAAATTAGGTAATTAATATGTACTGATATTACCACCATTTGGCCATTTTGAATAGGATCGTCAAACCAATATATCTGTCTATCTATGACATGACATGATGTATAATGAAAATTTAAAATTTGAACAAATCAGTGAAAGCAAGTCAGAGATATGGCACGAGAACCACATTCATTAAAACAAAATGGCCGCCAGTCAGCCATTTTTAATCTTATCTGAAAAACAAAATGATGTGCATCAAGGTCCTATAATGTCTAACGTATATACCAATTTTGAACATAATTCATCTGTAAACAGACGAAAAATGCTTGATTTAGATGATTTTTTAGCACAAAAATGGCCGCCATTCGGCCATCTTGAATCAGATCGTAAAACAAAATGATGTGCATCAAAGACCTATAATGTCTAATGTATATACCAAGTTTACACAAAATCCATCTGTTAATGGCTGAGAAATGCTTGTTTTTGATGATTTTTAGCACAAAAATGGCCGCTATTCGGCCATCTTGAATCAGATCGTGAAACAAATTGACGTGCATATGTATACTATCATGTATGATGTATGTGTAAAGTTTGATTGTGATTGGTCCAGGCATTTCTAAGATACAGGTTCGGACACACGCACGCACACACGGAGGTCAAAAAATAAGTCCCCGTTTTCGGACTGCGTCCGAACGGGGACTAATAACCACTCCCGATAAACTAAGTCAAATTTTACTTTTATTTCATATAAAAAAAAAGTAGTAACATTTTTTGCAAGGCATCATGACTGAGTAAAAGGAATTATTAATATTAGTATAATCAGTGTGTAACATCGCGAAGTAAGTTATGCCACGTTGTAGTTTTATTTGTTTGTTCATTACTGTGAATATATACGTTTAGAAGTTGATGGTACGAATAATAAATTACAACAATACGCCAAATTACGTGGTCAATTTTTTGAAGGAGTAAATAAGATCGTGAACATATTCCTCGCTAAAACGTTTCAAATACGTTTTATTTAACTTTTTACTATAGACATTAATATTGCAACAATAATTTATTTGTTTCTGTTTTTAGTCTGCAGCATTTGCATTTCGAATATATTTCATTTTTAAATTCAAACTCTTCTAAAATTGTGAAACAAAATGTCATAATTTCAAAAATATTTGCGATAATATTCATTGCTTATTATTATTCATACAGCTCATTAATATTCATGACCGACCGGCACTCAAGTTGGGCTGGCGAAATCCTTGGAGATCCAGTTCTTGAAGGATGAAAACTTGCAATTTTGATTCATTTTTGGAATTTAAATGACTGCCATTCAGCCATCTTGAAGTGGATCATAGAACAATTGCATTATGCATGTGTGAAGTTTGAACTTCCAGTATGTGCAAGATTTGGCACATAAACCATAAAAGTCACAATTTCTGGGGATACAACGAATGAAGACTAACAATCAATGCATTAACTCCACTACTCATCATTCATTATGCAAATTAGTTGATATCTTCTAATTTCGTATTCAATACGATCAATCGACTAGTACTACTCAGAGACTGTACAAGCATTACACATTATATTTAAAAAATATCTCATCAGCGATACATGTTCTAATGAAAACACAAAAATAGTCATTAAATAAAAGTTATGCTAAAATCGCTGCAACTTATGTTTTATTCTACATTTAAAAACAATTATGGAATTACTTTTAATTTTTTTTATTGTATTCAAGGTTGATGTAAGGTTGGACTAGATCCTTTTAACAGACTTCAATGCATTCATGTCTCTTTTCTGTATTTAACTGCTTGCAGCTTTAATGATAAAGTTCAATAGTCAGGACTGCTAGAAACATTTCTAAATATTTTGATTTTTGTTTTGCATTGAAGGCCAATGTTATGATTGAACTGTCAATCATGTCTCATAATATCTATCGCGCATCAGGGAGTAGTTTACAAATATGGGCGCCAGGTTTGGTACTTTTTTCAAACAAATGTATTGGTTAATTCCAGAGAAGTTAGTACATTTCACGCAACACGCGCGTCAAATGAAATGCACGGCTGATAATTGTCCAATCCAAAACAACACGCATGGTCCAAACAGTGGTTGCGCAAATGGAAAATTCTTCAGATGACAATTCACAACTTTCACGCATTTCTTATAATACGTAAATCTAGCACATTCATACAACGGACAGTAAACAAGTCATATATGCGAGACACTACCACGTTCATTCATTTAAAAAAAACGGTTCGACAATGATGCCAGGCAACGACATGCAAAGCGGAACTGCGCAAATCGGAGCAAATTGTGAGTGCATGGAAGTAAATAAAATAAATTTTAAAAACGCAAAAGCGAAAATAAAACTTGAGAAACCGAAACTGGGGTAATATGGTTCAATGAATATGTAGAAAAACGATATTTTTTTACTCTACCTTTTGTGGCAACATTCGCGCTGTCCGCCATTTTGGATTTTCACTTGCTTTTATCAATTAGTTGATTGGGTCAGACGTTGGTCACGTGATGCAAATGACGGTTGGATTCTCGTGGGTGGGTGTTAGATTTTACGAGAGGACTTATTTAATTTTCCGACAGTGTCATTGACGGGTCCTTTCGTCCCATATAACATACAAAATCATACTTTATAAGACACACAAAACTACATCACTCATTCAACGAAAAATGTATGGTTTCGTACAGCGTGTTTCTTTTGCCACTTAGTATCTACCTACCCCTATTGAGTACGGAACTTAGTCGCTCCCACAATGAGCGCCAACGATCTGCGGGTCGGCCCATTTATCGATCGAGCTAACCAAACAAAACCACTGTAACTTTAAATACCCATGTATTGTTGTAGTGCCTATATGAATTATTTGTTTACATAACAATCATAACAGCTTAATAATAATTGTATTGACAATAGCTGTAACTACATAAATTATATTTACAATTTATATATATTTATTAACAGTACACTGATATATGTTAGATTAATTCATTGCTTATTTTTATCGATTTATCTTTTGTATCTGTTTGTGTTGGGCAAACTATTAAGGAGGGTCACCTTAATTTCAACAGTAGAAAGGGGTTCATTCATTACACCGAATTTTTGTTGATAATTCTTGTTAATAATTCAATAGTAATTCGATTGTTTTTGCATACCTAAAAAATGACCTATACAATAGGATAGGATAGGATAGAATATTTTATTTGGAACGTACACAAAAGCAATGCTTGAATAAAGTCCAATATAAGGAACATAAAATAATACAACTAATCTATAATAATTTTAGAATCTGAAATACAAAATTAGCTAATACATATAATCATTGCACTGAAATGAACATATGCTGTAGTATCAACACTTGAAGTGCTCTTGCAAAATAATAACAATGGCCACGTGACCTGATAGAGACCAATATAACTCGGATATCAAATGGGGTTAAATACAACTACCATGATTGAATCGACTAAATATATCAAAATAGAAACCGATGATGAAGAATATATTATCTTTGTGTGGAACAGAGTATTTTACCCCATCTCTGAATCTTACAAGTTTGTGTTAATTTGCTTTTCAATTGTTTTCTTCTTTCTGCTCCGTATTTAGCACCTGTAGCCATTCCACAAAATGGTTGAAATAGTTTTAATCAGAAGTGAACGGCTAACTCGTAAAATAGCGAAAATATTAAAAGCACTACAAATTTTTGATATTCCGACGAAATGTGAGCATCATGTAAATGAGCCAGAGCAACTAAAAAGGGGTATTTGTTTCCATGGAAATGATGAATTTGTATAGTATAGTGGTCATTTTAAATTGAAAATTGATCAGAATGCTTACAACTAATGTTCACCATTGGAAAAATATTTGTTTGTTTTTACTTTTGACTCTCAAATACCCTGTCACATGGCATACTATCCAAACATTCCATAAACTGTTACGTCACGGTAAACAGTTTTAGCCTCGACCGCCCTCACCGCCCTTGATGGATTGTTGCTCTTAAAATCATTCCATAAATTATAGTGTACCTACGTTTTCTTAGAAAACACTCATGTCAATGAAGCTGCCATCTGATACCCAATATTTCTATTACGAATTTGAAGAATTATTGACACAATGTTTTAAATAATACAATTAGATCACTAAGCTCTTTAGTGTTGAGATTATATTAGCTGAATTGCTGTGTTATGTCTGTCATCGTCTAGGCCTAATTGAAGTTTTGGACGGAACTTGGCTCAGTGATTTGGAACTAATTACCAGATAACCGCCGCTTTTTAGACTACTCATTCTGATAGTTTATATCCATAGTTATTAATGTAGTGAACGATTAATCAAAAGATATGACGTATTCAGTACTTAGTGTGATTGGCTTTATGATTGAAGGTTACGCCCTAGAGTCTTTTTACTGCTTTGTAATTGGTTAGAGTTTTGAAAATGAATAAAGAGAGTTTGAGTTGGTCTTGGCGAATACTCCACGACAGACGCAGTCGAGAGTCCAGTCCAGGGGCGAGCCTTGAGGCAGTCCAGTCTTGGGCGAGTCTTGGTTCAGCCTTGTGAGAGTCTTGGGGACTTTTCCCCAGGGCGCTGTGTCTTATAGAGTGCTCCAAAAGATCGACTAAGACGAGAGTTGAAACGTATTTCGTTGTGTGTGCCTTATTTGACTGTAAAGTTAAAGTGACTTTCCCGATCCCGTACCTCAAGGGGACGCGATAGAGAGACGAGACGAGATTCCCCCTGACAAGTGTGGAGAACCCAGAGAGAGAAGAGAATTTCCCCCTGATAATTCACTGATTTCTGTACATGGGTTATGCACGTGGGTTATGAAGTTATCGAACCGTAGGCATGGTTACTAGGCGATGCAGTCAATATCTGAGTTAAATAATTATTACTTTTCTTTTATATCATAAACAAACTTCCTAATGCATACATATGTTCAATAGATTGTCTGTTTGATGCACCAATCATACAATTTATTGGACATATGTATGCATTAGGAATTGTGGTAATGAGTTGATTTAAGGTAGTAGAGATGCAGGTTGGGAGACATTATTATTGGTTCTAATTACTGTAATTACATATGTAAAGTACAACTTTTACCAATCAAGTTATATATCATTTGAAAGAGTTTTATTTAAGTTTTCCAGTTTTATGGTTTACAATAATGTACTATGAAACCATATTAAGTGGTGTGGATTTTGGTTTAAAATCAAAAATTTTAGGTGAAAGTGCACTAAAACTATTTAACTTTTGAATGCATACCCTGATTTTGATTTAAAAACAATTATTTAAAACTTCTGTTTACCAAGAACATATTGCCTTATTTATCAGTGTTTCCATTGAGAAGTTTTTACACAGTGCTCTTAACAGTAACTTACAAAGTATAGTCTCCGTATAAAAGGCACATATTGTGTGATATAGTATTATTATTTCTATCAGTATTATTGAATACTCCAGTGTTCCGTTACATGCTCGAATTTGCATAAATCTTAACCTGAACATGTTGAATCTTTAATATATACATTGCACTAATCCTCTTGTTTCAATATTATTCTTATTTTTACTTACGTTACTTGCCGAGGCGTACGGGTCCATGGGTATAGTATTACAGTAATCTTAACGTTAATATTTATATCTCATTACAGTATTGTATGACGCTGTCCTTATGTACAACAAAATACTTACAAAAAACAAAATGCCATTTCTAACATTGGCAATAACACTGTCTCTTAATTTGAAACCATAGAAAATATACTCTGATGACGACAGAAGAACAAAAGGGTTATGAGAATTTAAAAGTCAAATAAATGTTATAAATAATGGGTTTTTGTAATAGTAAGAAAGAAGACATTTGTCTCTCAAATCTTTGTATGAGGGACATTTGCAACAAAAATGACACGAAAATGTAAGTAAAACACATAATAGTAAGGATAACTAACTAACGTACCCCCTTTCGATTTCACAGTAAGTTAGGTTTGAGTACATATTAATAATACTATATATATATATATATATATATATATATATATATATATATATATATATATATATATATATATATATATATATATATATATTTATTTATATGGTCTTTATTTACAAGTTCAAGGCCATGCCCCATAAAAGTATATACATAAATATTCTTAAATTACAAAAAATCAGCAATATCGATTCTAAGTTTCAATGTGTGATAAGCAAAGGCTGCCAAACTTTTAATTATATTGTTTTTTTTGTGAAGTTAATAATTCTACAAATTTAAGAAAAGGTGGAGGGTGGAAATAATATTTTGGAAGATACAGGTGACGAAATTCAGAATAAAATGGGCATACAAAAAAGAAGTGGTATTCGTTTTAAATTTGATTTGTATCACAGCCTTTACAAAGCCGCTGGTCTCTCTCAAGAGATAATACTGGTCTTAACAAAAACGTGCATTTCGTGGCCATTCATTTATTCTATTGCATAATGCTGTAACAATCTTTTATATACAGCAATGTGCAAATTTACAAAACGGTGCGATGGTTTTCTAAGCCATCAATATTTCGATATTTTAATCATGAAAACAACATAACCATTTACACTTTTGAAATTAATACTACCCGAGGTGCATTAGTGTTCACCCATTTAATTTATTAGCATCACAATTAAATTACCAAAATAACACGCAACCCTTCAGAATACCTTACTGAACTAACTAACACCGTTCTGTACACATGCGTAGTGGGGAAATATGTTCACAGATATTATACATTAAAAATGTTCGCATTATAGTGTTCATAATAGAGAAAATAACAAAATATATAATGAAGCAGAGCATCATGGGTATTCTCTAATTGATTGTACACAAACACCAAAATCACCTTCCATCGACCATTCGGCATAAACTTCTGCAATTTCAACGGCACATATATAATGCAAAGTACAAATATTCATTCTGAAACAGTATTTCGCTGTATTTGAAGACTGAATTTTAGTTTTCTGTCATTATTGAGATGAGAATTTTGTTTATGTTTTAGCTTAATGCCACGACGCACCGAGGATAGGCAGAGATACATAGGATTCACATTTTGCTCGTTTTTAGAGTAACTCGGAGGTTAGATAGTAAATGACGGTTTGTTCATGATATTATAATGCTGGACATTGCCTTTTATCACGACTTTTTATTTTTATTTTTTATAAGTTGAAAGCCACGCCATGATTGGCGTCAATCTAAATTCAGACGACAATTTATTTTTTTCCTCTGTTTGTCCATGGAGCTAATCATTTTTTTTTAGCTCCATGGTTTGTCTAATATATTATCTAATAGTTTTCGCACTTAGGGTCTAATTTGTTTAGATAAATAACTATTGAATTCTCAAACACTTTATCAAATACTTTATAATCTGGTAAATTACGTTCAAGCTTATATTCGTATAGGTATATATTTATATAGTTATGTATAACAAGGTTATGTATCTAAATGGTTGAATGATTCAATTCCCAGTTCGTTA